AACAGAGAGAGAGAAAGAAACAGAGGGAGAGAGTTAGACCTACCCTGGAGGAATTCCTGAATTCCAATATTGAAGTAAATAGCTTTCAAGATTACAAAATCCTAGAGTTGTTTTTTTTAATTACTTACAAAGGAATGAGAATTAGACTAGCACGAAATTCTTCACCCACATCCCTAGAAGGCAGCAGGCAGTGGAGGAATATCTGCAACCCCTAAGAGGAAAGGCTGCCATCCGGGACTCCTATTCCCAGAAAAGATATCAGTCACCCATCAAGGTAACAGGAAGACACCCTTACCTGTGCTGGAATTCAGAGAGTTAGGGGTACTTAACAAAAATAAGAGAAGTCTTCTGATCATTAGATCAGAACAGAGATCACAAGACAGGAGCAGATGTCCAGAATGATGCTGTCACTGAAAGTGTGTGACATAAGTGTTAAGAAAGGATTCTTGAAACAGAAGAGAAATACCGTAAGAGGAAAACTAGCAATGATCTGCAACTATAAGTTTTAAATTATTTCCACAAAACCCACGTATGGAGCAGGGTGCACTTTCTGGGGGCAGTGCGAGAGTGGGAAACGAAGATCATTCTTAAGACGCATTCAAAATATCACAGTATTTTGGGGATGGGGACTAGGCACAACAGGCAAAGGCATTGTCATTATTTTCATACAGTGATAAATAAGTACACATTCAATTAAGATTCTTTGAACTTGATAATTACTTAGCAAATTAAGAACTGTAGTTGACCTTCCAAATTAACCAGAGGCAAAGAGGAGAGTCAAAAGAAATTTCATCACACTAACAAAAATAAAGAGAAAAAGAGGGCAAAGGAAAATAAGTAGCAAATAAGCATAGAAATAAAATCAAGTAGAGGCTCACGCTGAGTGGAAATGGCCTGAATTCATCTATTAAAAGAAAAAATTGATAACTGGCGTTTTTTAATTTAATCTATCAAGAACACTGGAAGGGGGCGCTGCCAGGAGATGACATTTACTCAGAGTCCCAGAGAGGCTAAGAGGGGCTCCAAGGTCAGCCATCTTCACAGACTTCTGTCAGACACTGGAAACACCAAGGGGCTCTTAGGAATTTAGGAATCACAAATGGAATGCCTCAGTGACAAAGCAAGGCTCAAAGTGGCCTTGAGGGCTATCCTCCCGGCTTCCTCACAGAACACATCGTAAGACAGTCATGTTTATTAGACACCCTCTGCCATCAGCTCTTTCCACTTTGGCCTGTTATCCACACTGCTTTTAAAGTGGTCTTTCTAAAACCAGAATTCATCCCATCACTCACATGGTCCCTGCTGCCTGTAAAGTCTACAAAGAGGGTTTCCAAAATGCAGTTAGACATTCACATTTTTCCTAGATATTTTTATAATTAAAAGCATCCTATTGTTCCAAATTCATTAAAGGAACAAGACTTTGTTAAATTCTACATTGAGATCCATCAAAGACTGGAAATCACCAAGATTCCCATCCTTCTTAATTCACAACCAAATAACAAATGTGATCAGAATCATTGAGATTTATGTTAATCTCCACTACTTCAACACAGTTTAGAAAGAATGTAGATGTTGGGGTCACATTGGAGTTCTACTTTTGGTTCTGCCACCAATTACTGTATAACAAATCACTTAGCCTTTCCTGACTGAAAATTCCTCAAACATTGACAGAAGGTAAGAATGCCTACATGCCTACATCTTCATGGCATGAGAAGGCCTACGTAAATTGAGAGGATTGAAAATACAACAAAGAGAACAAGCAAGTGCTTAGTTGACTTGAGTTTGGCTCTTTTTGTTTAGAGCTTTTAAATGGCAGTTGCTGGATACATGCATTGCGATGATATTTTGAATAGGATAATTGTTAGTAGATGTATCATTACCATTTAACCACTCATGCCTCAGTTTTACCACATGTCAAACAGCATGCCACATCGCATGGTTTTCTTTATAATGAGAGTGAACATTGGTTGTATTCATTTAGAATCTACGATGAATATTATTCCAGAATATAAATTATTCATCAGCTTAACCTGACAACTTAAAATAATCCTACCTAAGGCTGGATGTAACCTTCCACAGAATTGACATCAATGCTACTTTAATTCTCCTGGGCACAGTGCCATAACCAGAACTGCCCAAATGGGTTTGGCCTGGTGGAATGATTTTTACCAACAGAAACAAACCCTTCCACGAATGGTACATATTTTCTTGGAAGAAAATCCAAAATCTTGAACATAGAACACATGGTCTGAATGGTCTGGCCTCTGCTTTCCTTTCCAGCCTTGTCTTAGACCAACTTGCACCAGTGGCCATCTTGGACCAATATTGGCGAGACCAGTTCCCAATATATCAACGTGGTTTATATATGTGAGAGTTTAAGAGCTCTCAAAGTGATGGAGTGGTTGGTGAAAAAGAAAGAGAGACGAAGAAAAAGTTTTCTTTAAAGCTGGGCCCAGAGGAGACACCACATAAAGCCACTCCGTGGATGTCTGACATTCCCCTGAAAACCTCAGTTTTTTATTGTGCTTTTTCCATAAGGGAGGGGGAGCAAGATTACACAAAGTTTCAGTGATAATTATACAAAAAGAATACATTTGCAAAAACTGATGCACAAAAATCACAACGTGGTTGTAAAAGCAGAACAATGTAAAGATAACTTTCTGTGTGTCAGCATAGAAATCATACACCTTAGCAAGAATATAGGTTAAATATAAACTTATGATTATCAGCAAAAACATATTGGGCTCACAGCTACAGGGGGAACAGGATCTGATACAGGACAACCAGCCTGACCACAAAAGCTGCAAGAAGAGGGGGACTCCATGCAAGACTGAAGGAGCAGTGGATGAAGAAAGACTTTTACATCCTTATCTCAACCACAGAGACAGACGTCCCTCATGTGTCCATTTATAGGCTCCCCATGAGGGTCACATTCCCTTTCCAGGGCCCTAATCAATATGCCTTTCCTGGGAAAGGAATCCAGGTAATAAACCTCTCCATTACACGTCCATTTATAGGCTCTCTGCAACGAGAAGCCTATTACGCGCTGTCATCTCTCTCCAGGAGTCAAGCTGTGTGGTTAGTCCCTTCACAGAGTTCCTGTTTTTACCAGAACAGATCAGTAGAGCCAAAGTTACAAGGTGCAGCTCAGGAGAGCCGAAGTTACAAGCTACATCTCAGCATTTCACATTATCCTTCATTTTCTTAAACATAATCGATACAATACGTAACAAACATCACAAAGCAAATAACTCATTTCAGGGGAACTAATTCTAAGGGAATTTACAGGTTAAATATCAACAATTTCTTCTTGTTATTTCAGATAGCTTGGGTTTTGCCAATTCTTCTAGAAGGTTGGGGTTGCTCAGTCACCACAGAGGGGTTCAAAGTATTCCCAGCAGACCAAGCTCAACCTCTCCCCCTCTGTGCTCAGGCACATCTGTCTGCCTTCTTCTATTCCCTAACCTTACTGCATCCCCTCCTGCCACAGGCTCTTTGCACTTGTTCTTTCCATGGTATGGAATGTTCTTCCCCATTTTCATACCGTTCTCCCTATTGATTCCTTTTTATCCTTAAAATCTCCACTCAAGTGCCACTTGCACAGAAAAGACTTCAATGAACCCTGTTCCTCAGCTCCACCTCCACACCCACCCAATCGAGTCAAGCTCCTTGTTACATTCCCTCATAGGATTGAGTTTTGCTTGTAATTATAATTAATCTATGGGATTATTTGATTGACCTCTCTCTCTCTCTACAATGCAGTTACCTTCTGAAGAACAGAGGTTGACCTGGTTTTGCCCATCCTTGTACATCCACCATCTGACACAGTACCCCCTGCCAGGCAAGTGCTCGGTGCTACATGAGTAAATGGATGAACGAAGAATGAATACCAATTCCAAAGCTGCTCATGTCATTCATGCCGTTAAAGGACTTCATGAGATTCTAGAAAAGGCATAAGCCAGCAAGTAGCCCAGAACTGTCCTTGGATTCATTCCTCATTCCTCAGTCCTCTTTACTTAACAGCACTTAACTCACTTTGAACCAGCACAAGATGAGACATTTGATCAGTTCGATTTTGTTTTTATTTTTTTTTAATTTTTTGTAAACACAGTAAAGCCTATTTTTTTTAACCACTGAAAAATGTAGCCCTAGATAGGATCATACCTACTAAAAGTTCTGCCTTCACTTTTGGTTTATTTAATTATTTAAGTTATTTAATATAACTTCACATTCCTTTTTTCAACCTCAAAAATAGGGCTCAGGGTTAAAGAGAAAATAACAGTAGTACAAATTATACACAGTAAAAAGCAGCAGAGCCACATGTATTACCTTACATCGTATGTAGCATTATTTAAATTGTCCATATAGAGTGTGCTGTATACCATTCAAGAGAAAGAATCAGGGACGCAAGAATGATTTTTTTAAGGCCTATAGGGGCTAGGAAGTATTTTTACATTATTCTCTCCTCCTTAGCTTTTTAGGGTGAACTCTGATGCTTAGTGTCAATAAAAACTCTACGGCACCCTTAACATTCCAGATAACAGATCATCCAGGTAAGACTAAAATGAAAATCCTTCTTTTCAAAGCCTTTCCATTTTATTTTCTACCACAGAAAGAATTCCCAGCCCAAATGCCAGAGCTACTTAATTTTCATTCTGTTGACACAAGCCATTTTGCCTTTCATCTCTCTCTAAGAACAGTAAGTCACTCTGCTATTTTGTCCACTGACAGGTAACTCCGAGCAGGTAATTTAAAATTTTAATGGTCTGATGAACCTTTTTTTCATCTCAAGACACAGTATCAAAGGGAGGAATGCAAACTCAATGCCATCCACAGTGACATGAGTGACATGGTGCCCTTGGCCATATACTCGGGCTGTTCTGAAACTATTCCTACTTTCAAAAGCCAACCACCTTCTTTTGGGTGTGCAATTTCTCTACCTTTGATTTTTCTTAATGTTTACTTGAATTATAATAAGAAACATTCAATAGGCCACTTACCTGTTAGGACTTTAGTTTGCAAGCAGAAGAGAAAGAAATACCAGAGGTCAGACTTCATGTTTGCCAGAAACAGATGAGAGTCCGTGTTCAATGTTCAGTGTTCAGAGTTCAGTGTTCAATGCTGATAGTAAGTTCAGGTTCTCAGTTGTTTGCTATTTGCTAGAAAGGAAGTGGGTTTTCTGGGAGTTTATGTAGTGTCACACTTACCATCAAATCAAGGGGGTGTCTCTTCTTTGATGCCAATGGCTATATGGAAGGTATTATTGCTTATGAGAGTTAAACAATGCAGGAATTATTGATGATTTTGAAGACAGAGGAAAACTACCCTTATTCTGGTTCCCACAAAACAAGTTAAAGAGATAATGCCTGTATTTTTCAGAACTACCCCACTTCTCTGAATCAATAGTTATTGGGGATAACAGGACCCACATGATGAATAAAGCATATATTTTGACACATTTCTATCTTATGCTAGGTGCTCCAGAGATAAGAAAGCCTTTCAAATAGGACAAGAAACAAACAACATTATTATAGAAATTGAAGAGAAAAGACCTGAAAGAAGGGCATCATAGGAAGCTGAGGGATATTTATGTGACATTAATTGTAGATCGCAATGTTTCAAATGATGGGATAAGTTTTAAACTGACTTAAACCCTGCTGCTCATATTACAGCAGAGTCTGTAGGACCCAGGGATTCTGCACCTAGGGCTCAGGTGAGAGCAAGAACGTTTAAAAGCCTGCTGTGGCCTCTCTATCCCTGCAGGGAGTAAAGTAGACAGTAACATCAGTAACAATAATAATTACATAAATAACTATATGTATATGTACTTAAATGTTTTATATGAAATAATACATCTTAATGCAAAATGTGAAAAATTAAGTATAAAATATCTTTATATATAAAATATACTCTGAATATAACTAATGTTACATTTATATTGTTTTACATGTATGCAAATGGTTGTGTGCATCTATTTATGTAATTATTATAGTTTATATATATATATAAATTCATTTAATCTTCTTAATCATCCCAATGGTAACCACTAATCTACCATCTTACAGATGAGGAAAACTGAGGCACAGAGAGGTAAAGGACCTGGCCCAAGCAAGTCACATAGCAAGCATCAGTGCTAGGATTTGGAGAAAGAAGAAACAAACAAAATTATTCCAGAAACTGAAGTGAAAAGAGCTGAAAGAAAACATCATAGGAATCCGAGAAATGATATGTATGTAGCATTCATTGTAGATTGCAATTTTCAAAGGATGGGGTCAGTTAAACTAACTTAAACCCTGCTCCTCATGTTACAGCAGAGTCTGTAGAAGCCAGGGAGTTCTCACCTAAGGCTCAGGTGAGAGCAAGAAGGTTTTAAAGCCTCCTGTGGTCTCTCTATCCCTGCAGGGAGGTAAAGAGTCCTTTACTTCCTGGCTCCAGAATCCTCGCTCTTAACCAAAGCAGACAGAACCACCCATATCAAGGCCTGCTGAACCCTCCATCCAGAGGTCTGAACGGGCTTCCAGGATCCTAGATCCAGGGTGTACTTCCTTTAGCCTGCAGAGATGACATCAGATGAGAAGCTGAAATCAGCTGGCCAGGGAAACCAAGGTGTGAGTCCAAAAGGTTCAGGCTCTGAAACAGATTCCAGGTTTGGGGCTTTAGGCCAGCCCCTAGGAATACCAGACCATAGCCAAGAGATCCGAAAGGCAAGGAGGAGGCTGACCCTGCAGGGATCCCCAGCTGCTGAGGCTTCCCTCTGTAGGGTTCCTGGGTCTCAGAGTGTGTATGAAGGAAGCTGTTGGAAGGAATGAGCTAGCTTGAGCAGTACAATCTGGGCCAACAGGACCCCTAGGACTTTGCTACCCCAATCTCCTCCTCTTTCACTGTACTCCCTGGTAGCATCATGAGGTGAGGCTTCCAGCCCCACTGGCACAGTGCTGGAGTCCTTTTCCAGCACACAGGCAGGCAGTGGAGAACAACTGCCTTCTTCCGACTTGAGGCCTTGTTCTGAAACTGGGGATGGGAAGCTCTAACTTCACTTGAGAAAAGCTATCATAAGTTCGAGCGCTCAGGACTGCTGAACCAAGAAAAATACAGACAGAAACCTAAAAATGAATAAGCAACGAGGACATAGTGTGTACCAGCCACCAGGCTCCATGTGCATGAAGGGAGAGTCTGTTACTAATCTCACTTCATAGATGAGGAAACTGAGAGTTAGAGAGATTCAGGCATTTGTCCAGGTCACAGAGCTGATGAGCAGCGGAGCCTGTTCAAATCCAGACAGTGAAACTTTAGATTCCAAACTGTTACCTACCGCACCACATTCACATGCTCATCCTCATTTATTTGGCTAGAAATTGCTGGCAGCATTACTTTTTTTGGTCTCATACTTTCATGGTGGAAGGACACTTAGGTCCTAAAGAAAATTCTAAGATAATCTGAATGCAAAAAAGGATGTCCTGGCCAATTGGAGGTGTAACGTTTCTACTTCAATGGGAGAAAAGTTGCACAAGTTACATTTAAATTCAGCTTCAATTCAACTGGATATATGTGGTTTTGTTTGATATAAATCGGTTTGTTTTTTCCCAACCCTCTCGCTTCTCAGTTTATTCAGTACTGGCTGGTAAACTGATCCGAGAGTGGAGCTGAGCTCACCTCTATGTAAACGGTGTTTTATGTCAAAGTCCCATTTCAATGATCCTTCCCGTCCCTCGCCTTCTCAAAAATCTTGGTTAAGAATACAAGTACTTGTGGTTTTAAATATTCAGAACTGCTTTCACGTGTCTGGAAAATTAACTGGGCAAAAATTTCCATTCACCTCACAGGAAGTGCTTTGTGTTTGCTTTGAATTTTTTTTCATTCCATGACTTAAGAGGGTTTTGATTTGTGTGTGCAGATGCTTGGGGTGAGGGTGGGGCATGGAAAGTTGGTTACATTAAAAGCGTTTATTATTTCTTGCCTCCTGGGCACCAGAGTTCATAATGCAGCATGCCTGCTTTTCTGAAGGGCTGCAGGTGAATGTCTTTCTTTTGCTTTGCTTAGAACTTACTGGAAGCAACATTTGCCTGAGTAGAGGAGCTCAGACACCAGCACGATTGGGTCCAAGCAATAAGGTTAGAAAGCACCCCCAAAATATCTATGCTCTACCTAAGCTTGGTTTGCCATTCTGAAAGGGAGAGGCATCAAAACTGAGAGGTCCTTCCTAATCACAACTGCTTCTCCTCCTGTCTTGCCCATACTGTTGACTGGTACCACCAACCAGACTTCTCCCTTTTCCTGCTGATTCACTGATAACCCCAATTATTCTATTCCTTAACTGTCTCTCAGGTATTTTTAACTCCTCGCTTGCCAGGGTCACCGACTTAGATTAGGCCTCTGTCATTTCTATTCCCACTCTTGTCCCATTTCAATCCGTCTTCATGCTAGAACCAAAGTCATCTTTATAAAATGTAAATTGAATTCATCTATGCACCTGCCCCTCTCAGAGTCCTCCACTGGCTTCCACTGTTAATTAAGGCCCACACCCCTTACAAGACTCCTCGTGAAGGGCAGCTCCTTCCCCAGTTTGGCCTCATCTCTTGCCACATTTATTCTTTCTTCCTTCTGTACCAAATGTTTCCATCACATTGAATGACATGAAGTTCTCCAAATTCCTCAAACTTACTCTTCCTTCTACTGCCAGGAGCCATCATTGTGTCCATACTTCCCCTCCTCCCCACCCTCGCCTACCTTCTTTGGCAGATATTCCACCATCCTTCAGGTTTTTGCTTCCATACCCATCAATTCATCAAAGAAATGTTCCCCAACCAATGTCATTCACTCCCAACCACCCCCATAACTCGGGTCCATTTAGTGGCTTTTCTGCATCCTCCCAATGCTCCTCTGCATCCCCCATCCTAGAAATCATTATGCTACCAGTGGAAGGTATCCAAGTTACCAGCAGAAAATCCGTACAGGTCTGCAGCAACTTCAATCCTTGACTCATCAGAAAAAAGAATTCAACTGAGAAGCATAAGGCAGAAAAAGAGACAGAGGTAAGTTTCAGAGCAGGAATGTAAGTTTATTTTTAAAAGCTTTAGAACAGAAGAAAAGGGAAAGTATGCTTGGAAGAGGCCCAAGGTCAAGTGCAACGTTGATTTTAGGACTTTATAGGCTGACCCCTTTCACATGATTCTTCCCTTAAGGTGGACTGCCTGCATGTGCAGTGCCATCCTTAAACTTAGGAGGTGAGCACATGCGGTGTGTTTAGGGAACAGTATGCATGCCCATCTGAGGCTCTCTTCCCTTTGCTGGTGGTGTGCCCCACAAAGGTCATACTCTGCCATTTTGCCTCTTAAGGTGCATGTCCAGGAAGTCACTTCTACCTGGTACCTATATTCAATTAACACTTTAGTGCAGCAGGTCATCGGGAAATGACCACTCCCTGGCACCAGCAGCCAATTTATCACTTTTAGAGAGGCAATGTGATAATTGCTGAACCATCACCTGGCAGTCCTATGGGTTGGGGAAGAGCTGTCTCCTGCCTGACTCATGCCAGTCTAACTACCTGTAACAATGTAACAATTATACCACTGTAATGACCTGTTTGCTTTCTGCCAGCTTCTACTAAACTGCGAGAAACATAAGAACAAGAACTGAAGATGCCTTATTTGCAAGTCTATTTGCAGTGCTTTACAGCTAATCATTGAATGAACGAGTGTTCAAAAAATTCTTGACTATTGGAGGAACCATATGACCTTGGGAATGCTCATCAATGACAATTTTTCTTTTTTTTTTTTTAATTATACTTTAAGTTCTGGGATACATGTGCAGAACATGCAGTTTATGTAGGTATACACATGCCATGGTGGTTTGCTGCACCCATCAACTCATCATCTGTATTAGGTATTTCTCCTAATGCTATCCCTACCATAGCCTCCCACCTCTTCAACAGGACCCTGTGTGTGATGTTCCCCTCCCTGTGTCCATGTGTTCTCATTGTTAACTCCTACTTGTGAGGGAGAACCTGTGGTGTTTGGTTTTCTATTCTTGTGTTAGTTTGCTGAGAATGATGGTTTCCAGTTTCATCCATATCCCTGCAAAGGACATGAACTCATCCTTTTTTATGGCTGTATAGTATTCCATGGTGCATATGTGCCATATTTTTTTTATCCAGTCTATCCTTCATGG